TCGTTCCTGGGTGTTCCGCCCCTCCTGCCTTTCTGGTCCTCCCAGAGATTCTCTGAGCTTCCTAAGAAGCTTTTAAGAATTTCCCTTTTTTTCTTTCCTCAAATTAGAATATTCTATTGTTTGTGAGTTGGCCAGTTGACAGAAACTCCATTAAGAGCAAATTCACTGAACTCTAATGAGGAAACTGTACCTATTACTGTCATTAAATAAAGGAGATGGGGCAAAAAAAAAGTGACATGAGAACAAGGACTCCGGGTGTGGGAAAAAGTAAATACTGGCACAAAATAGAATAAGTTCAGTCAATATTTGAATGGGAAGTATCAAAATGAACTTGCGTATTTCATCTCTTTTAAAAATGTCTATATTTGTTCACCCAAAGCCCCAGAAACAATGACCAACTTGGTAGTGAGCATCCCTATGCCCAGATGACTGCCTTGAAATGCCGTCTTTCACTAAAATACAGTAGGGTGTCTTGAAGAAATGCCTGGCTGCACGTCTGCCCAGGAAATGTACAGGATGAACCTGACGCATCTTACCAGAAAGCGCAGAAATAATCAAAAGGGAGTAGGATTGGTCCAAAGGACTCAGAGCCAACTGGAGGAGGCTCCCACTTGTCAACGAGGGGACAATTTGAACATCAATGACTGTAAAAATGGCAATGAACCCAAACATGTCAAATATGCATAAATCCAAGAGTTCAGAAAGACACAAAAATAATCAAACACCAATTGGTCCCTTTGGAAGATGTTATGGGAATTAACTATTTTGAAAACTGCTAAATAAGGAGAAAGACTCAGGCCTTTCTTCTTTCTTTTCTATGTAGACTTTACCACTGGGTTACCACAGAAGTGAGGAATTTTTCTTTACAGAAGTATTCCAGCAAGTAAATAAATGGAATGATAAATTGAAATGTTCACATTTACTACTGAAATCAAAATCTAAGCATGGAGCTAGTAAAACAAAGCAAGAAACAGTCAGGTATGTGCCTCATGTTGAAAACCCACCACCATCTATTAAATAATCTTTCCTCCAAAAAAACAAACTCCTTATCTGATTGAACCTGTAGATGGGTACTATTGTACAATGTTCAGGGACTACAAAGGGCCAGGGAATTCACCAAATAGACTGCACTTTGAGGACACAATCAGCAAATTCCTGACAGTGGGGAGTCTGGAGAACGAATCATCTCATTTCTTCAGTAAGTAAATTGTAAAGGGAAAAAAGGGTGAAGTGAGAATCTCTGGGTTAAATGAGGCCTAAAAAATTTATTTATTTATTTATTTGTATCCTCACCTGAGGACATTTTTGTTTTCCATTGCTTGCTTTCTCAGAGAGAGAGAGAGAGAGAGAGAGAGAGAGAGAGAGAGAGAAACATTGATCAGTTGATCTCCCGTATGCTCCCCGACAGCAGTGACCAGAGATCAAAATTGCAACCTGGGCATGTGCCCTGACAGGGAATTGAACCCACGACCCTTTGGTCCACAGGACAACACTCCAACCCACTGAGCCACACCGGCCAGGGCCTAAGAGAAATATTTAAAACATATAAGAAGCGGGTCAAAGTTAAACTGCAGGGTGTAGAGATTCAGGACTAGATAAGAAAACCACATAAAGAAAATACACGTAAGAAAGTACTTACTATGGAGGTCAGTGGAGTGCTTGCTCTTAGTGGCGAGTAGGGGCTGTTTTGGGGACAGGCACGTGAAGGGCGGGGGTGGGTAAGGTTCTTTCTCATGGGTGGTGGTGACAAAGGGGTTGCCTTAGAATAATCCAGTAAGCTGCATATTTGTTTTAACCTGTCTTTAATATTTGTGTTACATTTGACACTAAGCTAATGGAAAACCAGAAAACCTTTGCTTAATGTTTTCACTTATTCTTTTGTTTAAAAAGATTTTATTTATTTTTAGAGAGGGGAGAAGGGAGAGGGAGAGGGAGAGAAACATCAATGTGTGTTGCCTCTTGTGGCCTGAAACCAGGTCAGGTCCCCTGACTGGGAATTGAACCGGTGACCCTTTGGTTTGCAGGCCGGATCTCAATCCAATGAGCCACACCAGCCAGGGCTCATCTATTCTTTTAATAATTAAATGAACACAGAGTATGAGCTGGGGACACTAGCCGATACTGACCCTTGCCTTCAGGAGCTTTGCATTTGGAAAGGGAGTGGTGCACAGCACGTATCTTCCATGGTAACCTGGTAACCGCATTGGAAGAAGGCAGGGCTGTCCTGAGGTGGCGAGCAGTTCCTTGGAGGAAACAGTGGAGGTGTCTGGGAAAAGGGAGCCTGCAGGTGTGAAAGACAGAAGTAAATAAATCCCGAACGTACTCTGGAGATAGAACTGACAGATGTGATGATTTGTGTGTTGGTTGGTGTTTGCGGGGGGGGGGGGGGGGATAAGAAAAAAGTCAGTGATGCCTCTAGAACTGTTTGACTCAATGCATGACGAAGCCATCTACTTAGACGGCTGGATCCGAAGTACCGTAAATGAGACGGCACTCACGGCACTAAACCCCGCACTCCTGCCGCAGGAGGGTCTCACATCGTCTCCCGGGTTCCTAGAGCACGGTCGGTCGTGGGCTGTCTCTCGGAGGAGAGGGAGTGCAACCCTCACTTGTGTCCAGAAAGTTGAGAGCTGGAAACTCTCAGTGAACACCCCGAATGCCTGCCAGGGGACTTTGTGTCACTCTGCAGAGGGGAGCATGAAGGAGAGAGCTTCTCAGGGAATGAGAGGCATTAGGAGAGGTGCATGGGCTAGAAAGCATGGCCGCAGGGGAGGGGTCCAACAGGAATGCTGGGAGGCAAGGCTGCAAAGGAAGGCAGGCCGCGTTGAGAAAGCCCTGCTAAAGAGGTTGAATTTGATCCAGGAGGCGCTGAAGGTTTGAAAGAAGCTGTGGTGGAGAAAGATGAACCTGATGGCTGCATATAGAAGAGATCAGAGAGTGGCAAACTGGAGGCAGGAGATGCATTCGCTTCTTGTATAAATACAGGCAAAGGGTGATGAGGATGTAAATAGGGCTCTTTTAAATGGGGAGGAAAGAAAGGACTCTACATATTAGCTACCTGAGAGAAAGACTTGACCAGCTTTGGGACTGATTGGATGTAAGATGTAAGGAAAAGCCTTGATCAGGTTTTCCTTACACCAAGGCTGTGGGTTTGATCCCAGTCAGGGCACATACAAGAATCAGCCAATGGATCCATAAATAAGTGAACAACAAATCTCTCTCTGGCTTCTTGCTCTAAAAAAAATTAACTAAAAAAAGAAAAACACTTGGAATCATCTTTGACTCTCCAACTCCCCCTCACATTTTTTTAAATTTATTTATTGTTTTAGAGAGAGTGAAAGGAAGAGGAGGGGAGAGAGAAATCAGTTTGTTGTTCCAATTATTTATGCATTCATTGGTTGATTCTTGAATATGTCCTGACCGGGAATGGAACCTGCAATCTTGGCATATCAGGATGCTGCTCTAACCATCTGAGCTACCCTGCCGGGGCTGATTCCAAGGTTTTGAGCCTATGAGATAGAATTAGAATCAGAGAAAACAGTGGAAGATGCGCAAGTCTGGAAAAGTAGTCTGGGGCTTGTGGATTGCAAAGCAGGGATTTTTATCTTATTTACCTTTGTTTCCCAGCACCTAGAAGAGTGCTTAGCATATAATATGTGTTCACTGGTATTTTTTGGCTGTGTAATACCAGTAGAACACAAATGGAGAAGTTCCCAGGCAATTGGGGTTTCTTTTTTATTATTTATTTATTTATTTATTTACTTACTTACTTACTTAGAATGGGGAAGGGAAGGAGAAAGAGCAGGAGAGAAACATGGATGTGAGAGAGAAGTGTCCATCTGTTGCCTTGCCCAGCCGCCTGATCGAACCTGCAACCCAGGCTTGTGCCCTGACCTGGGATCCAACCAATGATCTTCCGCTTTGGGGGCGATGCCCAATCAACTGAGCCACATGGGTCAGGGCATCCCGAGCAATAGTTCACGCACAAATTAGTGCTGCTTCACGATGTCAGGTCTCAGAAGGCAGATTTACCTCTTTGAAGCCACAAGATGAGACGCCAGGAAAGTGGAGAGAGAAATAGCGGGGAGGCTGAAGAGAGAGCCTTAGAAACCATGACGCTGAAGAGCCAGAAAGTAGGACCAGAATCCAGGGCAGGTGAACGTCTGAAGATGGTTTCAATCCGTGTCCGATGCTGCGAAGGGATACTTGGCAACAGGTAAGAGGGCATTTGATTGGGCAAGTCAGGACTCTGGTGACCCACCCAGGGCGGACTGGAAGCAGGCCAGCAAGAGCCTCTAACGATGAGAAAGCGCAGCTAGTGGCCACGGGGGAGGCTGAGGCGAGGGGCAGTCGGGTTTTGTTTGGGTTTGGAGGAGCTGTAATTGAGACCTAGTCACCCAGCCAGGTGGAGGTCGAAGTTGCAAGACGGAGGAAGAGAAACCGTGGCTGGCATCAAGGCGGCGGGTGGAAGGGGTGTCTTCCAGCGGAAAGGGAAAAAGCCACTTTTTCCAGGGGAGAAAGCAAGCGCGCGGATGGCTTTTGTTGATGCTGTCGTTGGGCGCTTGGTCTTACGTGCGGGGCCCAGTTAGTGCTAATGGCCACCACCAGTTGAGCCCTGGCACCTTATTTCTCCGTCGCCCTCAGGCCGGTGGCCTTCTTTTCCCCTTTACCAGAGGGAGGCGGTTCCCTGGAGGCTCAGAGGGGGGCGGGAGCCCGCGCAGGGGCGGCTGTTCTGGGAAAGGTGCAGGCGAGAGCGGCCGGCGGCGGGGCGGGCCCGGGGAGGCCACACCCTGAAACTACCTGCGCGAGGCAGGAAGAGTGAGGGCGAGAGCCACTCTGCCGGCGGCCGGGCGCTGGGCAGGTGACCGGAACTCACCGCGACCTGCGCCCCCTGCGCCCCGGGCGCCTCGTGCGCCCCGCGACCACCCCCTGCGATCTCAGCGACCCGGCGGCGATGGGAGCCGGCCACCCGCGGGAACGACGCCTGTGAGACCCGCGACCGGCCACCGGGACTATGAAGAGCGATCAGGGTCGCAAGGGCGGAGGGGGCTCCAAGGACCTCCGCTCGGGACTCAAGTACAACTCGCGGCTGGAGGTGAGCGAGGGTGCGCGGCGGCGGGGCGGCCGGGATCGGCTCCGGCCCGGCTGCAGCCCTGACCGTCCGGGGGAGAGGGGCGCGGGGCTTTGCCGGCGCCGTGGTGGCCGGGGCGTCCCGAGTGAGGCCGGGAGCTGGTCGGTCCGGGAGGCCGCCCCGACCCCCGGCGCGCTGCGCTTTGTCTTGGCCGAGAGACCGCTCCGCTGCCCCCTTGGTGGCCGCGGCGCTGGTCCGACAGGTGGAATTTCCTGTTTGGTGGGTGCCTGGCCTGAGGACCTTTGGTACCTGCCGTGCTGCGCGCGGGCGAGGCGGGAATGTTCAGGGATTTGGAAAAGCTCAATTTCCAAGCAAAAAAGGGACCCTCTAGGTCCCTCCGTGAACTCGGCGCTATCGAAACTCCTGCAGAAGGAACCGGGGGCGGAGGCTCGGAGTGGGTGGTTTGGGCGGGAAAAGGGAGGTTTCCAGGAGACTTTGGAGTCGTAGCCTTCCTTGTTCTCTTCAGGAATTTGTTTTTCCTTACTTGTCAGAGGCATTTTGGGCCCTTTGCGGGGGCACCTGGGAGACTAGAGCTTTGAGTTGCCCTGGAGCCTGGATCTTACTTAGGACTCCAGGGTGGGGCTTGGCTGGGCTTCTCCGAGAGAGGACAGGGCTTTTTGGGGAGGTGACTCTATGGGAAAGGATGTGGTAACGCGGGTCTTGAGTTTTTTAGACACCGAAGCCGGGAGCCCTTGTTTGGCAGGAAGAACAGCGAGAGACCTGAGAGATCGCAAAGACTTTACGTGAAGGTAGAGCTGGGGATGGTTGTGAGCTCCCTTATCCAAGGACACGCCTACGCGGCGCGCTCTGGCGGGTCTGGCAGCCAGGTCTCCATCTCTCGGTCCAGCGGGGCCCCAGGGCTCCTGGAGCGCCGGGGAGGACGGCACTGGCGGACGCCGACGGCAGCGGCCGTTCAGGGAGCCAGCTTTGCCCTGCGCAGGAGAGGCGGAACCGTGCGCCTGCGCTCGCTTTCCCCGCGGTTCCTGGGTCGCGGAACGCCCTCTCCGCCCCACACTGTGGCCAGTACTCCTCTGTCAGGTCCGACTTTGGAGCTCTTTAAAATCTCTTCCTTCTGTCCATGCGGCACGTTGGCCCACTTTTCTCTCCCCGACCCACGGAGCTGCTTCTGCTGCGCCCCCGCCCGCTTGAGGCGGCTTCACCTGGACGGGTGCCTTCTCTTTTCCTTTCTGTAATCGCCCTGTTTATGAAGCCTCGCTAATTGCCTGCTGGGGCTCCGGTCTCCGGCCCCTTCAGCAGAGGGCCTGGGGTTTGGCAATTGTTATTTCTGGGCGGGATTTTTTTTTCAGGACTTCCTTTTCTGAGAGCAGGGTCTTCCTGGAGTTTCCTCTGAGTCATCTTACTGCCCAACACCCCTCGCGGCCCCCGCCCCGCCCCGCCTCGGCCCCCAACATGGGGGCCCCTGGGGCTCAGCTCCACAGTCTGCCCTGTGCTCCAAGGGCCCACTGACTTCTGTCACCGGCAAGCCCTTGCTTTCTCTTCCCTTTTGCCCCTGCTCATTTCCTCACGTTCCGCGAGGCTCATCCATCCTCCGCCCCGCCGTGTGCTTCCTTCCACTTCCCATGCTGCGATTTTCCTGCACAGGGATCCCTCTCTCCGCCCTCCTGCCCAGTCCCCGGAGCCAACCATGTGCCTCGGTCTGTGCTGGGCGCTGTTGCAGAGAAGGCTCTCAGAGGCACATAAGACACGGCTGCTTCCCTTAAGGGTTTACAGTCCTGAGAGCCATGCTAAGAGGCGTGTCTGAAATGGAGAGGACAGGATGTGCCCTGCAGGAAGTGGCCACTGTGCCCACCTCGCGTCTCCACTTCTCCAGGAAGTCTTCAGTGTTCCTCCCACCCCATGCCTCACCGCCACCTCCCTCCCTGGACCCGCTGATAGTGTTCGCAGTCAGGGTCTGCAGACTCTGCCTTAACTTGTCCCCTGCCAGGAGGTGGGTGCCTCCCCTGGGTTGTCCTCTGTGTCCTCAGAGCCTACCTGGGTTATGCCAGCTCCCACAGGGCACAGTGGCTTCTGGGAAAGGTTTTCTGTGGTGATTCTTGTGTCTGGCTGTGTCCTTCCCAAGGCTGAGGACTCTGGCCCCTGCCCCACCCTTACCTGTTCCTCTCTTCGCCCCCCACTGCCTCTGGAGCCCTGGGACCCAAGCGCGCAGGGTGGGGCGGTGTGTGTGAGCCGTGTGTGAGCAGGAGAGCGGGTGCACAGATGCCCGTTAACAAGGACCGGGGAGCCTGCCTCACTGGCCTCTGCTGACTATGTGATCATGGCCATGAAGCTGCTTTGGCATCCACTGGTTCCTTCCAAAGTCAGGACTGGCTCACGCAGGGATCGGTAAGCTCTAGGCCTATGGAAACCAGGGTCAGGGAGTCAGATGTCTGGGGGCGAAGCTGGACAGCTCCGGCTCTTCCGAGAGTCATCTCTGTTAATGGGTCAAACACTCACCCACATAACAAATATGAGGTACCCACCGCCTGAGAATGTGCCGGGCAGGGGACAGGAGCCCTGGGAGGGATCCCGGGTGCGCAGTCTGTCTTCAGGCTCGAGGGGTCAGAGTAGGTGAACTGGGACGCAGGAGCGACCGACATGGCAGCAACACCTGGTGCCGCCGCCTCCCTGCCAGGTGATCTCAGAGATGTTACCTAATCTCTCAGAGACTCAGTACCCGTGACAATAAAACAGGGATGATGTATATGTTACAGGTTTGTGGCGAGGATTGAAAGGGATCCTTTACATGAAAGCCATTTGTAAGTTGCAGCGTGGTGTGGAAACCACAGTCTGAATTTCTGAGTTGAAAAAGGACTTGAGACAAACAGGAAGGATGTAGGGTTAGTAGGATGGATGCCTGGGAAGAGGCTCACAACCAGGTTGTCCGTGGGGCACGGACCTGGCCCGGCTGGACACAGGGAGTCCCTTCTGAGGAGCGCTGGGGAACAAATTCCAGCAATCGAGACCCTCCTCCTATGGTTCCAATTTTCAATTCCCTCCCTTCACGCAGCTGCTCTGAAAATGATCCTCTATAAAAAGAAGAGTGTGCCAAGACCATACGTATAACCAGCTACTGGTCCCTTTCTCCCCCATACAAAATAAAACTCTTAAAAACTTCCATCTCTCTTGGGGCTTTCCAAAGGCTCACGTGCTGGAAGGTGTGTGCAGAGGGTGAGGAAGAGCAGGGAAGGTGGTCAGCTGGGGGACACCAAGATTGTTCCTTACGTGGGGACTCCCCTCCAGGTGCTACAAATGGACCAGAAGGTAATTTCTTGGGGCCTTCTGTCCATCATGGACCTGGGAAGACCTGGACATTCATGGTGCTCATTGAGGAGGTGGGGACACTGAGGTGCAGGAGAACATAGCCCTCGCATGCCTACCACCTGTGGGAACCCGCGCGGGTGGAGCAGACTTGTTGGTGGAGGCGCCGTATCCTCTCCCTCTGCTCCGGGGGCAGCCGTGTGACTGCCTGCACTGTGGCCTGTGGCCACTGTGGTCCCAGAGTCCTGCTGGTGTCAGTTCCTTTTCTGGCTTATGGTTCTGTCAGGGCTCTGGGCTCATGTCTTTCCTAAGAGGGGCAGTCTGTTCTTGGAAGAGGAAGGAGAGTGTGACGGAGCCCCCAAGACACGCAGGGCCCAAAGTTGTTGCGTCTGACATTTGTGCACACGCTCCTGGAGTGTTCAGAGTACTATTAATCATCACCAGCATTTATGGCGCATATAGCATGTATTACGCCTCTTAGGATTATTATTATTACCCTTTTGTAGGTGAGGACAACGGAGCACAGAGAGGCTTGCCTAAGGTCTCAGAGCAAGACAGTGGGAACGGGATTTGAACCCGGGGAGTCTGACTTGGCTGTATTTTACTTGGGCTGCTCTAGTGCATGACAGGGCCGTCAGCCCAGGGGGCTCAGGAAGGGATGGATTCCTAAGGGTAAGCATTGATTTGATTTGGGTAAGAAACTGCATTTCTCTTCTTGGGATGTTTCTGAGATGCGAGGGACATCACAAAAGTAGAACAGCCTTTGAGGTATGAGAATGGGAATGGGAACTTCTGGGCTTTTCAGAGAACTCTCACCCTGGCTGGCAGTGGTGAGAAACATGTTTGGGGTTTGCTCAGAGCTTGTGGTCAATAATTGCCCATTTTTTATTTGTTAAGAACTTTTTCTGAAGCAGGCCCCCAGTAAAAATTCCATCTCGGGATCTCCTATTTTCAGAATTTTTTGTTCTTGCCAGGCTTAGGAGCAGAATCCTTAGAATCCTTGTGATACAGTTGACTGGCTGGTTAAAATCTTGGCCCTTTTGTCTCTCTAACATGATGATGATGATGGTGAAATGGAGAATATCATGACCGTCATTCTGTCCAGCATTGAATGTGCACAATTAAATTCATTATCTCTATTCTTACAGCACCTGTGTGGGGAAAAAAAACCCCACCAAAATGTTTACCGATGAGAATAATGAAGCTCAAAGGGTTTGCATAATGAACCAAAGGCAGAGGTAGAACAAGAATTCAACCCTCGATCCGTGAGACTTCAAAGCCTCTACTTCTCAGGGCAGTGTCATTACATGGTTTTATTCCAAAGCCCATGGTGATTGATCCTAGAACACATCATTAAACAGAGTGGTGAGCACCAGGCGCCAACTCAAGTCCACTAACCACCTTTCACACCAGGCTCGTCTGGTTCCCCCTCCTGATGCAGTTAGTCATCTCGTAGACCAGGAGTCTGGCCGGAGATGTGATTTCAACAAAGCTGTGAATAAGATGTACCTTTATTTATTATACACATACATAAAAATCATAATGGAAATTTTTTAAAGATTTTATGTATTTATTTTTGGAGGAGGGTAAGGGAGGGAGAAAGAGAAAAAGAGAAACATCGATGTGTGGTTGCCTCTCTCGTGCCCTCAACTGAGCACCTGGCCTGCAACCTAGGCACGTGCCGTGACTGGGAATCAAACCAGCGA